TGTGTGTGTGTGTGTGTGTGTGGGGGAAGGCTATATTGGCCAACTTTCAGCCTAATTTTCTTAATCCACTTGTTCTTATGTGTGGGTGTTTAGATCGACACATAGATACTTTTTTAATTAGGGTTTCATTTGATATGCACAGATAATATAATATTTTTTCCACATGTATACTAACAAAATGTGATCAGTCATTCTGTCAATTCAAGAACTTTTGGATTAATAGTCTATTTAGTACTAAGTGGCATGGTTGAAGACTGTACGTTTATTGCTTTAATTCTTGCTTAATAAATCAACTTGAACTTGAACTTGAACCAGTTTTTGTGGGCGAAGGAGGGAATTTTGAGGACATGTGCACATACACAAGATGAGAGGAGGTTCTCGCCCCTTCACATGTTCCCCTCCTGCACTCTTTAAAACTAACAAAATAAAACCTGACTAACGCCTGCCACTCAGGCAAAAATTTGCTGCTTACAATCGCTTAAGGTGAAAGGTAAATGGATCCAGAAATGCATAATTATCTGCATCGTTTCATATGGAACAAAAGCGACCCCACCCGTAAGAAAAGGGTTAAACAGTTTGAGAAGAATTTTCGTTTATGTATCAAATTCCAAAAAAACGGCAAGAGATCATAAGGTTGAGAGAATGAGTCCTGAAATGTAGGCCTTATTCCATAGGTAACCACTCCGGAGATATTTTTAGTCACAAAATGGCGGAATTTCAAAAACGTTGTATCTTTTGAGTTTTTACAGAACAACGATAACAAAACATCTCCTTTTATTAACAAATCTCCATTGAATGGGTAAATATCAAAAATTTAAATACTACAAAAGAGTTGACGTGATACTTTTAATGTGCTGAAATTGCTATTGATAAATAACTCTTTATTTAAAACAAGTTTATAAGTTTCTTAGAAAATTCCCTCCAGCAATATCAAACAACCACTTAAGTTCACTAAGAGTGACTTAGGAAAATTATTTTCGAAATACAATTGTGATACACAAGATGCATTTAACATTTATATAAAAATAATCGACAAAAATTGCATACAAACATTATTGGTAGATAGATATAAATATTACACTTCATTGCTTATAAATATTACTAAAGTGACAAAAATTACATGTGCAATATCAATATTATCGTGTAAGTGACAGTGTTTTTACTGTTTTCCGGCGGTACCCCATCGACACACAATACATTCTGCTTAAGAATTCTTTATAAAGCAAGGCAAGCCTTATTGTAAGAAAACAGGAAAAGGTGCACTCGTAATTACCTTAGTAGCTTTAATTTGCTGTTTGGTACAATGAGAAATTTGGCAACTTTTTGTCTGGTCAATTTTGGACTGATTCTGGGACTGAAAAGATTAAGTTACAAAGTCTTAGTCGAACTTCTCATGTGGTCAACCTAATGCTTTTTCATTCAGTAGCATCAAATTCATCACATATGAAGTTCCACGCTACGCCCTAGCCTTTGTTCCACTGAAAACTATTCCCTATTCCGCTCAGGTAAAAATAATACTTCTAAACTATGGAAGAGCGATACAAGATTAGGGTACAAGTTTTTAATAATAAAGTTGTTTATGGGTATTCGTTTGTAAGTTTAGCAAAATATTCACGTTACAGCTAACTGGAGCACAGCCTCCCCGCAGACGTCCTATGGGGTTTGTTCGCGTGAATGCGTGACGAACAAACCCCACAGGACGTCTGCGGGGAGGCTAACTAGAGCAATGTTGCTCCAACTTGATTTTGTGGTCAGGTATATATCAACGGTCGAAGTTACTCGAAATTTTCATCCTTTTTAGCAGGAGCCTATAAGGGCCCCTGTTTTGGCCAATATTGACGTTTAAAGACTTAGTCGAAGATATCATCCGAGGGCAGAAGCCGTATTGAATTCATAAACTTGAAGATGCTTCGTTGAAAATTACATCTTGGGCTATTGGAAAAGTGACCTCACATATAGGTCGTGGGTTAGCCTGAATTTTCTAACCAGGCTATCTTTTTGCAGCTGCTTAAATTGCGTACATAACTTTAATGTTTCTCCCAGAGATCAGAGTATCAAATTTCCAATCTTTACTTCCCTAACTAGTTAACGTTGCAGCTGACGTCAAAGATATATGTACTAAAAACGAGTTAACGTATTATACATGTATTCTCGTGCTAATTAAGACCCTAGAAAAGGTATTCAAACATTGCATTTTTAAACCCTGTAGAGAAGGGAAATGAAGTCTAACCAACTGTATACAGCTATTTCAATTAACGTTGTCGTGACGAAAACGCGACTAGACCGCAGAGTAATATTGTTAATTTTATAAAAATCTACCAGTCCAGCCATGAAGCAATTCTTCTGTTACAAAATCATAAGGGTAAAGGTTTTTGACGTTTGATCCCGTTAATTTTTTGGCACTCAAAACCAAAAGGTTATGATCAAATAGACTCTTCCACGGCTTTTTCAACTTTTGACTGGTGAAAATCCATCAACACGTCTAAAGCGCACCCTCCCTCCCCCTACAATTAGTAAAGATGCTAAGTTTGAACGTGATTTGACGATCATATAGCTCTGCGAAGTCCCGTTTTTTTTTGTAAGCAGGGGGCAAATTTGTGCCCCCGCCCTGGCCCGTCCCCCCCCCTCGCACCGACCCCCCCGCTCAGCTCCCCCAC